TGTCCTCCAGACCGAGCAGGGGGCCGGCACCCCGCGGCCGGGCCGCGCCGGGATGGAGGTGGGGAGGTTTGGGGGTGACCCCCGTGCTGGGGTGCGGTGGCGGAGCCCCGCAGCGGAGCGAGGGCCGGGGCAGAGGGCGCGGAGACGCGTCCTGGGAGCCCCCGAGGTGCAGGGTCCGCTGGGGCCTGGGTGCCGCCCTGAGCAGCCCCCCTGCCCGACCCTGTCCCTCCCGCACGCCACTCCTTCCCCACGAACCCATCCTCGCATGAACCCTCTGTCTGCCTCCTCCCACCCTCCTCCTCCTCCCCACAGCAGCCCCGGCCGGCAGCGGAGTTACGGTAAGGTCTGTGTCATGTGGCTCCCTTCATCTCCGCTCCCTAAACCCCAGCGCAGCTCCGCTGGCAGCCCAGCATCACCCACACTGCGCCGGTAGGGAAACTGAGGCATCGCTGGGTCCCGCTGCCACGAGCCCCATGAGCCCTCGCCTGGGGAAGCTGTGCAAGGGGAGGGGGGGAAGGAGAAGAGCCAGGGGGACGTCACCCCCATGACACACACTGTCACCGTCCTACCCACCGGTCCCCATCGCCGCCAGGGCCGCTCCATCCCAGCTCCCGAACGCGTGCCGGACCCTGCACAGCCCGGCCTGGGCTCTGCCTGCGCTGCCAGGCTTCGGGGGGTTCCCGTCAGGACGGGGGCAGGCAGGGGGGCTGCGGACTGCGGGGAGCCCAGGCCGAGGCGGGTCTGGCTCCCTGACATCACCTGGCCTCGCTCCCTCTCAGTGCCAGCACACAGAGATCGCCCACCCGTCTGCAAGGGGGTCGGGGCACAGTCAGGGCCCCCCATCTGCCACCCTGCTCCCCGGGCAGACACGGGGCTCTCTGCCTGTCCCCGCTCCTCCTGCTGCAGCCCAGGGCCCTTCTCCAGCCCCATGAACTTGTGTGTCGGTCTCCCGGCTGTGCAGCTGAGGAACGTTTTACCCTTTGCACTGGCCTCAGCTGAGGTCATGTTTTCGGCAGAACTGCGCTGGGCTCTTTCAGGAGAGCGGCCCCGGCCGGAGCGCCCGGGGGACCTTGCACCACCCCTCTGGCCCGGCAGCAGCCTCCTCGCTCCGAGCCGGTGCCAGCACAGCATGAGCAGCTCGGTTTGGGGCGGGATGGGGCTGGATGCAGCCTTGGTCTGGTGAGGCACGGAGCAGCCCGGGTCCCATGACCGGGGGGGAGCAGGGTGCGATGCCAGCAGCCAGCGCAGGCAGAGCGGTTGTGTCCGCTGGCACCACCACGACCCCGTCCCTCTCGTCCCAGGGAAGGGCAGTGGGCTGGCCCTCCACCGAGGCGGATCTTCCCCCTCTTCTCCCCATATGGCCCCTTGCACCCCCAGGGAGGGGACAGGAAAGGGGAGGGCTGGGATTTTACCCCAGGTGGCATTGGTGTAAACTGCAGGGCTTTGGTGGAGGAGCCCTCGGGCCCTGCAGTGCCAGGGTACCTCTGGACAGCGAGTGTAGGGGGCAGGGAGCCCCGCGGCGAGGGACAGCCAAGGGTCTGCTGTCCTGGGGAGGAAGGACAGAGCCAGCAGCCCCTGGCTGTGCAGGCTCCTGGTGTGCTGCTGGCCCGGGGCTGAGCAGCGCTGCTCCCTTCCCTGTCCCCGTCCCCATTCCTGGCCGGCGTGACCCCTGGCTCGCTCTGCCGGCCTCGGAGCAATTGCCCATGTAAGGGCAGAGGGCTGGGGAGCCAAATTCCCGAGCTGGATTTCAATGAGCGAGCGGGTGGTGATGCACTCACTCACATGCTCCAGGATGCAAGAGGAGCTTGCAGAGGCCAGGAAGGGATTTTCCCTGGCTGCGAGCAGCGTTGCACAACCGGCCGGCTCTGGCAGGGAAGGGGTCGGACCTCGCTCCAGAGCGGCAGGGGGGGGGGGGAGGGCTGGGGAGCCAAATTCCCGAGCTGGATTTCAATGAGCGAGCGGGTGGTGATGCACTCACTCACATGCTCCAGGATGCAAGAGGAGCTTGCAGAGGCCAGGAAGGGATTTTCCCTGGCTGCGAGCAGCGTTGCACAACCGGCCGGCTCTGGCAGGGAAGGGGTCGGACCTCGCTCCAGAGCGGCAGGGGGGGGGGGGTCCGGGGGGGGGGGGGCGGGGGGCCCCCCCCCCCCCCGGCCCCTGCCTCTCCAGCCTGTTTGCCTTTCACACGGCCGCAGAGAGCTGCCTGGTGCTGCCCACCGAGGCCATCCTGCTCCCAGCAAAGCCGTGCCAGGGGCTCCGCTTGCCCCCTGCCCTGCCTTTGGCCTCGGCAGCCCTGGGAAGCGCCATCCTGCCATGGGCAGGGAAGTGACTTGCCCGCGGTCACGCCTCAGGCGGGGGCCAAGGCTGGTTCTCAAGCAATGCTGGGAGCAAAACTCCACCGACCAGTCTGGCCCATGTGGGGCGATGCTGCCTCCCCACTCCCCTCCACTCCCACGAACTGCCTGGGCAGCAACCGAGCCCCAGCAGCACCCGCAGAGCCAGCGGGGAGAGAAGCCAGGCTGGGAACCACGGAGAAACCAGCCCTGCCACGGCAGCGGCACCCAAGGAGAATCAAAGGAGTCCATGGGCCGGGCAGGGGGCTGGGGGCGGCGGGAGGAGCCGGAGCGGGGACAAAGGAGCTCTTTGCAGCCACAGTGAATGGCAGCTTCACATCTGACCTTTCCGTCTGGGTGCTGGTATTGTGCTGGGTTGGGCAGCTTCCCCCTACGGTTCGGACTGCAGCAAGATTTCAGGCTGAGGTTCAAGAGCCAAGCATCCTCCCCCCCAAAACCCTGGCGGCTCCCTTCTCCTCCTGAACTGCTGGGCTCCTTTAAGGAGGGAATCTCGCCTCTCTCATCAGTTCAGGCTAATTAAACCCTGCTAAACCAATTAGAGCTGCAATTTGCAACAAGACATTCAATTGAGAAGTGTTTCTCAGAACCCAGGGTCAAGGCACAGGCAAAAGAGCAGAGGTTTCATATTGATGGCGTGGATCCGCTGGCAGGCATTGGGCAGGTCCCTGGATGTCTTTTGGTCGCCGTTTGCCCGTTGGAGCGAAGTGATCCTGGCCCTGTTACATTCCCCATCGCAGTGGGACTCCCAGGTTTCTTCCACGCAAGCAGAGATGCTGCCAAACGCCCCAGCAGCGCCCCTGGGGAGCGGGGCTGCCGGCCGGGGGTCCCTGCCGCCCAAGGCACTGCCCGAGTTCAGGCGTAGCATGGGGCCACGGAACCCAGAAACCCCCGGGGATGGGACCTGCGCTCTGTGCAGCGGGGCCAGCTCGTTATCTGCTGAGGGTTGGCACCAAAGGGCAGTGAGAACCCAGTGAGCAGGTGAAGCTCAGCCCGAGCCGCAGTGTCGCCCTCCACGAGCATCCCTCAGAGCACGCGGCGAGTCGCCGGTGTGAGCTGTGAGCTGAAGGCACAGCCCCGGTGCTGGGGGCAGCACTGGCTCCGCAGCCCAGCAGCACATGGCCCCTTCACCCTGGTGGGGAGCTGCCCCTCGACGTGCGGGGCTGCTGCCGGCGGCTCTGACCCCAGAGCTGGATTTTCTCCGCCGTGCCCGCACGGCTCCAGCCGAGTAAATGAGAGATGCTTATGGCTCATGGCTGCATCACCAGCGTTGGGGAGAGAGTGGCGGGGGGGGACGATCCGCACCGGGAGAGAGTGGCGGAGCGGCACGATCCGCACCTCGATGGCCCAGCCAGCCACACTCCACCCCCAGCGCTGACACGTAGCTTCGCCCCGTGCCCTGGGGCGGCAGCGTCACCGCTCCATGCCTCAGTTTCCCCATCTGCTGTGGCGAGATAATGCTCCTCTGCTTGATCCTTCACTATCTCACAGGAAGGTTGCAGGGATTAGTTAGCTAATGTTTGCAAGGAGCTTTGAAGATGAAAAGCCGTGAACAAATGCCAAGAAGTGCTGAGCTGGATTCTCCTCGCCGAGTAATCGTTTCATGTTCCTGGGGCACTTCCACTTCTGCAGATGAAGGAGGGCAGGGCGGGAGAGCTTGCGTGTGGGGAGGGCAGGGGGGCGGGAGGCTTGCATGTCTTCCCAAGACCTGCCCCTCCAAATCTGATCACCCGGCCTGTTTGACTCCTGATCAAACTGAGATCCCTCCCACCAAAGCCTTTCTGCCACCCCAGCTGCA